TTAAATAAAATTAGAATCGAATAAAATTTAAACATCATTTGACAAATTATACAGTACATAAACAATTAAAATTAACATTCATTAAGTTTATTTTGTCATTTAGGTAATCGTCAACTGAGTAGTAGCTTTTTTTAATTAATAATGATTTTATTTTGAAATTTGTGGTGGCAATAAAGTTTTAAATGAGGTAGGCAAAGAATTATATAGTCCAATGGCTTAATATCTAGTGCTGTGCCGTACAACATTCTAAGTTGGTGTAATAGAAATTTTTAAATCTTTTCGTCGGGTCATTTCTCTCTTTTTCCTTTCTTCGTATGTTTCATATTTATGAAAGTTCTTTACTAAGTAAGTAAGTGAAACTAAGATATACAGAAAGGGGACCGTAAATATGCCAAGATTTCGGAAATGTCCCTTACACGACTCAATCTGTAGAATACGTAACATAGTACGGATCGCTCTTTTTTGTAATACAAACGCTGCCTACAATACAGCACTCAAAATTGCAATTAACAATGTTGTTGGTGCCGGCGGAGATTGATCTCCGGTTGCTCGTTTACCGTGAAATTCACAGCTAGCCTTTTTTTTTAATTACTTTATGCCAGTCCTTGAGCACAATTCCAATTGGTGGTGGTTCGTCACTAGATGGTAAATTGCAGTGTTTAGGGTAACAAAAGTCTTTTCGCTCTTGCCTTATTCATATTGTAATTGGATGGAAAGACAGACGCAAATTATTTAATTTTATTTATATTATTTATTTTATTTATTTCATTAAGAACAACCAACATTGTTTGTTATGTTACAATATTTCTATTCTAATATTAAGAACTAAATGTAGCCTTAATTATAGGTTACCACGGCGTGCATCATGGGCGACCTAATTTTACCTATTTATAAACAACTAGCGGTCGCCCGCGACTTCGCTCGCGTACAATTTCGGATTTCCTATGAGATTATGATTTTTTTTGCTGCAAAAGGTCTACCTATATAGAGGCTGTATAAAACTTATGAAAGTATTTATCACAAGTTTATGATGCAATAATGTTATGTTATCCCGTCGAATATCCTTAAAGGCCAAAGTAATCACCGGATGTGTTCAAGGGAAAACAGTATTCATACCACGAATATTTAATACCATCAGAATAAAGATCGAACATATACATAAATATATACATAATATATTCCCCTTATAGTTTCACTTTCTACGCTAATTCCATGCGGATCCACAAAATATTGTGCATCTTTTGGCGACATTTTTATTGCTTCCTTGTTTTTGGCATGTTCGTTTTTATTTCAGGACCTATGTCTTGTATTTTATGTATAAAATATTTGTGGCACGGCTCTCGTGTGTTACAATCAGCAGACTACTTGTTGCACTTACTCTCGAACAGGCCACATAAAACTGTCCGTGAGAAAAGCAGCTCTCCCTTAAGTCTAAACCAACCATTTTCAGTGACTGCTCTTGTGCTTTATTAATGGTCATAGCGAAGCATACTTTCAGAGGAAATTGTAATCTCTTGAACTCAAAGAGGTAATCTGATGGTATTAAAGGTAGTACCTGGTTGACGGTATTTTCTTTTTTGGAAATCGTGTTTTTGGAAATTATATTTCAATTCAAAAAATAATAGTATTATTACTCGCCAATAGACGTCAGGAAGAGTCATATTTTTTACTTTTATCTTTGTAACGAAACATCGCCAACAGGATAAAAATATTTGCACAATATCGGTTTCTTTACTAATGTAATTAATACCGTATTTTTTAAGCTCGGTCATTTTTTTCGTGTTTTAAAAAAATATACTTAGATACAAATTAGATTGTTAAATGGCGTTGATAAATGGCTCCCAATAATAGTTTTTCTCACAAAAGAAAAACCTTGAAAAAAAAAGAGGGAAAAGCATAATCGGACTGGAGACATCTGGACTCGAACCGGGGTCTTCCTTGTAGGTGGTGGCGAAATTTACCTTCGTATTCTAATGATATTATAGCAGTTTTTCACTGTCTGAAAACACGGATAAAACGACATTTTGTAAAGGTGAATCCTGGCTATATCGATTTATCGCCCCCAAAACCCCCTGCATACTAAAGGTCATGAAAACCGCTGGTATGAAAACTGATTCCCCTTGAGCATATCCGGTGATTACTTTTGCCTCTAAAACATTTTTATGGAGAGCTGTTATTTGTAGTCTGGTACCTGTTGGCGACGCGCTTAAAAACTAGTTTTTAATTTTTCATTAAAAAAACATATAAATAAATTCGAATTTAAAGTTAATGCTATTAAAGTATATAATGCATTCCAAATGATAAGGTAATCTACGTTAAAAGTAAATAGATTCAATATAATTGTAAAACGAAAGTTCAGGGTTCGATTTCCCAGTCTAGAGTTAATTCCACAAAAGTTTGTTTATAGATTAATTTAGAGTCATGTGTTACATAGTAATAGACTATGCAATACGAATAAAAGTCTTGTATTAAATTAGATAATTTATAATAATTTAACTTAAATTAAATAAATTCAAGTTACAGGGAGCACAAAAGGTTATGATGCTCTGTAAGAGCGAGGAGACGGTTCTGAGAGGACTGAACTGCGCGCAACTTGCGTGCTAAGACAGCAATTTCCCCAATGTTGATGTTCCTAATAGCGGAATAAACCATATTTAGGTCATCAACCATTGAGGGTTGTGTTTTCTGAGGGGCGGAGGATTTCCGCGCAGGGTCGGCCTTTTTGGGGCCCCAGGGAAAGACTGGAGGCTGCGAAAGCTGGGAGAAGCCCGGAGGGGGCCGAAGAGGGCCCTAAGGGCCTTGGGGGACCCTGAGAGGGTTTGAAGAGGCCCTGAAGGAGCTGGGAAAAACCCTGACGGGGTATTCTTGACGGGAGGCCCGGGAATGATCTGGCATTGACTGGCGGTGGAGCTTGTTTGCTGGGACGAATGTGAGGAGCGTAAGGGCAGCCTCTGTAGTTCGCCGGGTGGCCAGACTGCTGGCATATGACACACGCGGGTGGGGATTCGGCGTTTTGGGGCCGAGGACACTCTTTCGAGCTGTGAGGGTTTAGGCACTTAACGCACCCAGGTGAGGCAGAGCAGTTGGCTGCCGCATGCCCATAAAGTTGGCAGCAGTGGCACTGCGCCGGAAAACCGCGCCTGTGTGGGGGCTCAATCCTCATTCTTGACAGGGTGCACACTGTGTGTACCTGCTGGAAGATGGCTGAGGCCTCCGGATCGTTAGTGAGGATCACAAGAGCAAGCGGCATCTCTTGCCTTTGTTGCTGTGCATTTGTGCACGGCCTCAACGGGGAATCCTTAGGATTTAAGGTCCTCAAGGATGTCCTCGTTGGCGAGTTCAAAAAGTATGCCGCAGATCACGGCCCTGACTTTTCGCTTTTCCGGAAGAGCGTACGTGTGGTAGGACACATGCTCGGATGTGCACAGCCTGGTAAGGCGGCGAAAGTCATCGATCGACTGGGGTAAGATCTTAATAGCCTCACGAAGGTTGGTGGCCTGATCATACTTTATTCCTGCGTCATAGCAGATCTTAGAGAGACGGGTGAATTTTTGCTTGTCTCTAAGGAAGACAGGGGGCGGGACCTGCTTTTTAGCAAGAGTAGGGGTGCAGCGGGAAATTAAATACAAGACTACCCCAGGAGGGTACCAGCACCCCTGGAGAATCCCTCGCTGAGCATCTACGACCAAACTACTTCACTCCTAAGCGTGGGTGCTCAGGCTGCCCCGAGTATTCTGGGGGGGGGGGGGGGGGGGGGCAAAATTCCGCTCGTGACTAATGCTGCTCGGGGCAAACGGAGCAATACAACCAAGGCGACCCCTGTCACGCTATCCGTGAATTTTTGCAACATCAGGGGACTTCATTCCAACCTTAACGCTGTCCATTACCATCTAGAGACGGCGAAGCCGGCCTTGCTCTTTTTAACCGAGACTCAAGTGTCCTCTCCAGCTGATACTTCATATCTCTCCTACCCGGGATACAAATTGGAACACTCCTTTGTGCCCCGGGCTGGAGTTTGTGTATACGTCAGAGAGGACATCTGTTTTCGACGCCTCGGCAGCCTTGAAAGTATGGACCTGTCCATCCTATGGCTGCGCGTAGACAGCGACGATCATCCGCGCGTCTACGGGTGCCTCTATAGGTCCCATAGCGGTAATGCCGACACAGACCGACTCATCGACCACGTCCAAATGGCTGCAGACTCCGTGCTACAACAGATCCCATCCGCAGAGATCGTGATACTCGGTGATTTCAACGCCCACCACGCTGAATGGCTTGGTTCTCGTTTAACCGATCATGCGGGTAGATCTGTGTACGACTTTGCTTTGGCATATGGTCTAACACAACTGGTTACTTCGCCTACGCGGATCCCAGATGTGGAAGACCATGTACCTGTTGGACCTTCTGCTGACCTCTCATCCGGACGGATATCAGGTCTCCGTCGATGCCCCTCTGGGCTCTTCGGACCATTGTCTGATCCGGAGCACGGTGCCACTCACGCTCCAATCGCAGTTGCGATCTGCAGCTTGCCGCCGTGTTTGGCACTATAGGTCAGCTGATTGGGACGGGATGCGGTCTTTTTTTGCATCCTACCCTTGGGGGCGGGTTTGCTTCTCGCCGGAAGATCCCAGCGTTGTTGCCGATTCTGTTGCTGATGTGGTACTTCAGGGTATGGAACGTTTTATTCCATCCTCTGTGGTGCCCATCGGAGGCAGATCCCAGCCATGGTTTGGTCGCTCCTGTAAATAGCATCACGCTATAAGCAGGAGTGCTACCGGGCCTGGGCTGATGCATCAACGTCTCGGGATTTAAACACCAGCGCACTTAAAAAGAAGTATAATTCCGCCTCCAGGTCCTTCAAAAGCGTCATTGCCAAGGCAAGGTCTGAGCACATCGGCAGAATTGGCGAGAAGCTAGTTCGCCTTCCTTCGGGAACCCGTGCATTCTGGTCTCTCGCCAAGGCTGTCCAAGGGAATTTCTGTCAGCCATCCCTTCCATCTCTGCACAGAGAGGACGACTCACTGGCCCATGCCGCAAAAGAGAAAGCCGATCTGTTGTGCTCTCTTTTTGCGTCTAACTCGACTCTAGATGACGGGGGGAACACACCGCCGACCATCCCGCGATGTGAGTGCTCCATGCCGGATGTGCGATTTACACAGAGCTCGGTTCGCAAAGCACTCTTCTCCCTGGACGTCAGCAAGTCGAGTGGGCCCGATGGAGTCCGTCCCATTGTGCTGAAGACGTGTGCTCCGGAGTTGGTACCAGTTTTAACGCGTCTTTTCCGGTACTCCTACTCCCAAGGCGTAGTTCCGAATTCATGGAAGACAGCTTTGTTCCACCCGATCCCTAAAAAAGGCGACCGCTCAGACCCGTCCAACTACAGGCCTATCGCTATCACCTCCTTGTTCTCCAAAATAATGGAATCCATTATAAACTGCCAGCTCATGAGGTACCTTGAAGATCACCAGCTGATCAGTGACTGTCAGTACGGTTTTCGTCGGGGTCGATCAGCGGGTGATCTTCTAGTTTACTTAACTCATAGATGGGCGGAGGCAGTAGAGTCCAAGGGGGAGGTATTGGCCGTTAGTTTGGACATAGCGAAGGCCTTCGATCGGGTCTGGCACAAGGCGCTTCTTTCGAAGCTTCCTTCCTATGGGCTTCCCGAGAAATTGTGCAAATGGATCACCAGTTTCCTTGCTGATCGGAGCATCAAGGTCGTAGTAGACGGTGCATGCTCTGATTACAAGCCTATCAACGCTGGAGTTCCACAAGGCTGCGTGCTATCACCAACGCTGTTTCTCCTGCATATCAATGATATGTTGCTAACTGGTAGCATTCATTGCTATGCAGACGACAGCACTGGGGATGCCTTATATACCGGCCGTGCCAATATTTCTCGGGAAAACGTCGCCGAGTACCGGGACAAACTTGTGTCTGAAGTCGAGTCTTTGCTTAACAAAGTCTCGGATTGGGGCCGACTAAATCTATTGCAGTTCAATCCACAGAAGACACAAGTTTGCGCGTTTACCTTTAAAGGAACCCGTTTGTCGTATCACCTCAGTTTCAAGGCACTCCCCTTGCTGCCTCAGCCAGTATCGGAATCCTTGGCGTCGACATATCGAATAGCGTGCAGTTTCGCGGTCACTTGGAAGGGAAGGCCAAATTGGCCTCTAAAAAGCTTGGCGTGCTCAGCAGAGCGAGACAGTATTTCATGCCGGCACATCGCTTGCAACTTTACAAAGCGCAAGTTCGGCCCCACATGGAATACTGTTCTCATCTCTGGGCCGGGCCACCCCAGTGCCAGCTCCTTCCACTTGACCGCATCCCGCGCAGAGCGATTCGAATCGTCGACGACCGAGTTCTTTCCGATCAGCTCGATACACTGGCACTGCGTAGAGATGTTGCATCTCTTTGCGTATTTTATCGCATCTATCACGGGGAGTGCTCTGAGGAATTGTTCGGACTAATTTCAGCCGCTCAATTTCACCATCGCACGTCGCGACAAAACTCGCGTTACCATCCGTACCATCTGGATGATTGGCGGTCGACCACTGTGCGATTTAGAAGAAGTTTTCTCCCTCGCACAACTTCTTTGTGGAATCAATTACCACCAGCGAATTTTCCGAACCGATACGACTTAGGAACCTTCAAGAAAAGAGCTTACACCTTTCTAAAAGGCCGGCAACGCATCTGCAATTCCCCTGGTGTTGCGGTTGTTCATGGGCGGCGGTAGTCACTTACCATCAGGTGAGCCGCAAGCTCGTTTGCCCCCTATTCTATAAAAAAAAAACGTTAAGGGGCCCGAAGCAGCTGCGGAGGAAGAGACGGCAGCGGGAGCTGCAGGGGTTGACTCAACGGAGGGAGTTGCGGGAGTTGAGGCAGCGGCGGGGGCTACCGGAACGGGGGGAGTGCGACTTTTCACCGTGCGTTTACGGCTGCGCTTGGAGGTCACTGTGGTGAACGCAGATTTGCCAGTTCCGTCAGAGTCAGACGACTCTGATGAACCATTGCCGGACTTAACTTCGGTGGCAAGCCTCTTCCGGGAGGTCAACACCGTGGACCCGGAGACGGAGTGGGAGCACTCCTTCTCGAGGGGCGCGAATAAGTTTGACTGCGGGGCAGCCGGGTTGGCCGCCAGAAAGGCCACGACGGAGGGCGGTGGGACGCATGCCTGAGGGGCAACTGACGCTTGGACTGCGGCGATAACCGTCTCGTCTAGTTTTATGCCCAGACCAAGGGAGTGGTTCAGGGCGGCAACGATCGACCTAATGAGGTCTCTTGAGCGTAAAACGTCGCCCCCTCCCCCAATATGTCCAATATTGGGGGTTGGGGCGACGTTTTACTCTAACAGTAAGGACGGGGATCCCTGTTCTCAAAAGAACAGCGACGTTTTATTCTAACAGTAAGGGCAGGGGATCCCTGTTCTCAAAAGAACAGGGTCTTGTTCTGAAAAGAACTAGTGACGTTTTCCGAGAAACAATATACACGGTATAATAATAAAGCAATAACAAAAGAAAATATTAACAAAACAATTAACAAGAAAAAATAACAAGAAAATTAAAAAATAAAAGCAATGAGCGGTCACACCTCCCCGCCAGGAGGCAGGGGGGCAAGATCGGAAAGTGAAGTCGAAAAAAACTCACTAAAGCCACAGCGTTGCACACCGTGAGCAGGAGAACGGAGGCGCGAGAACAAGAGGGCACTAACGTACGGGGACGATAGCGCGGTCAACTTGAGCACGTCCGCTCGAAAGCGGCGGCGCAAGCGGAATTGCACTAGCCTCCTATTGAGTTGATGAGGGTCGTGCAGGGATTGGTTGTTCATTTTGTATGTGATTCAAACATTGTCTATATGATGTACTATAAGGATTAAAAATAAATTTATAAAAATTTCAGTAACATGTGTAGAAACAAGTAACGTGTTACAGGATTATCGGCTTAAGATAAGTACTGTGTTAAAAGTGCTTAAAATAGTGAAATAATAATAGATTTATATAATAAAATTAAAGTCGAATTAAAGCGTATTAATGCCTTTAATTTGTGAATTAAACTATTGTATTAGTTAAGATATTCCTGTTTATTAATAAAAATTGTTGTTTTGACCATGTGTGATAGATATTTAAGATTAATAACTTTGAAAATGTTCTGTAAAATAGGTGTATTTTGTTGAATATCTTAATGTGTTTTTATGTGATAATGTTATATATCGGTGCAGGTCGCTACGTCCGGAACGACGTCATAGCGGCCAACATTAAGATGGAGGCTATAGAAGAATTTGTGGTCCGGCTGTCGCGTGGTATGTTCAACCGCGCTGACATCGGGCCACACTCACACTTGAACAATTTCGCGCCGCTACACTTTACACTTTACATTTTACCAAGAGTACTCCTCCCTATATAGATCATGGAGTTGAGTAAAAGCCCACAATATCACTGATTGACCAACCATGACCTTTTCTTTATATTGATACTATTACGCATAGACTAAGGAATCAAACTGGATCGATGCTATTACCTACAAAGCCATAACGGCTCCCAGGACCGGCCCATAGAAGTGGGCCGTGAGGAGAACCCGGGCAATGAGCGACATGCCCCGAGGCCCGAAACCTGTTGTGTGCTATTAAGCACACAAGCAGAAGACAACGTAAGGGTGGAAGTTCGTTCAGGATCAACTACCAGTTTTACAATTTAAATCAAGAGAGAAGACAGTAGGGAAAGTGATAGGAAAAGTAGTGAAAGTTTCAACGTTGCACTCTAATGGGGATATTACGAAGATAAAGTTGATGTTTTATTTCCTGCTGCACCTTCAGAAATACAGTTCACTTCCGATGGACGTTAAGACCGGGACCATTCCATAGAGACCCGTAATCTTAGTCGTCTAACCTTTCTTGAGAGGAAGGACAGACGTCCTTGAGTGGCACTCGTTCTAGAATTTTTATATAAAATACGTAAATAAAAAAATATTTTTATTTTACCAATTATCTGACTACAATTAAAAACTTCTTACTTAAGTATTCGATATTCGGCAGAATAGTAGTTAGATATTCGGTATTAGACCGAATAGGATGTAATTTTTTTATAGGATAAGGGTGACAAGCGAGCACACAGTCCACCTGATGGTAAGTGGTTGCTGTGGCCCATAGACATCTATATCTATCCTCATTAGCATAAAATGCAGATGCATTGTCAGCCGGGACTTAAAAAAGGTCTCCGCGGTTCTCTACACTCACCAAACTAAAACAACAGTATTAAGCTTTCCCCGTTCGAGCCGACCCATTTGTGCTACAACTATACTATTAATATAGCTGTAGCATGGCTCTACCACGTGTAAACAACCAACCTACTTCAATATAAATTATTAAGAATAACTCAAAAACTATTGGTCAGACCTTCATCAAATGTATATAGGACCACATGAGAAGCACCAGCTTTCAAATAAAAAAAAGAATCATCGAAATCGGTTCACCCAGAAAAAAGTTATAAGGTAAGTAACACACATAAAAAAACATACAGTCAAATTGAGTACCTCCTCCTTTTTGAAGTCGTTAAAAAAGTAACCGAATAAGCCGAATACCGAATAATACCCGAATATTCGTTGCGTCTAATAAATTTGTTTGAAATTACTCGCTTAGACATATAAGTTTTGTTATTATTACACTGTTTCTTTAAAACACTTCTGTATAACACATCTCTACAGAACAAGTCTTTACAGGCAATTACAAGCCTTTGCTGAATATAGGCCTCCTCCATAGACTGGCTGCGTGTTTCATAAGTTCGTCGCTCCATCATACTAGTTACATTGCCCCATGAATAATTTACTAACTCTGTGGCATCAAGTATTACTGGGTGACGATAGCGGGGATATAGTTTATCATGTTAGCGGCGGAGAACGACATAAATGTGGCATTACAGAAATTGCAAGAGGATTTCACCAACCTTATGAAATGGTCTCACGATGCAGGACTAATTCTGAACGCCACCAAAACAAAATTGATGTACATTTCGTCCAGTCGAAATAGAGTATCCGTTCCATTAAAACTCATTGCCCACAGCCACCAATGTCTTCATAATAACATGTCTAACCATAGTTGTAATTGTAATAATATCGATATAGTAGAACAACAACCTTACCTTGGACTCATAATAGACAGTCGATTTAAATGGACGCACCATATTAATAAAGTGTGTGATAAGTTAAGGGCCATACTTGCCAAATTTTCTATAATTAAATATAAAGTTCCCTATCCTATACTGTTATCCCTTTACAAGGCTCTGGCCGAATCGATAATACATTACGGTTTAAGTAGCTATGGTAGAACCTGTAAATCGCATCTTTATAATATCCATGAATTACAGCTTAGAATCATCAAAACAATTGTCCCACCTAAAATCAAACAACAATATAAGGATAACTACAACAAATTATTTAAATTTTGCGGTATTCTGCCTATTGAAGAAAAACTAAAACTTACCTTACTTGTTGAACAGTTCTTTAATACAAAATTGCAAGTCCTACCAATGTATAAACACCAGCTTAGAAGTATATATAACCCTAAATTAATTATAGCTAAAACACAAAATATATATGGAGATTATCAAAATAAGATCATTATTCCTAAATTAATTAATAAACTACCTAAAACCTTAAAGGAAGATATCAATCCTAAAAATATTAAAAACAAATTAAAAACGTACTTTATGAATCAACTAATATAATAACTAACATAATATAACTAAAACTAATACTATATACTATTTGTATACTGTATACTATTATATATGTATACTAATTGTAATATAATGACTATATTTATATTTCAAAAATATAAAAATATTTTTTCCTCTGAACAACCTGTATACTTACAACTGATCCTCACGTTATTGTTATAGAAGCGAGCGAACTACCTTCTTACTCTAAATAATATTAAAATGTTTACGCTCAAAAGACGGCGAACTGCAGTGTGCAGAAAAATCTTATATAGGTTTATGTTGCACTGTACTTATGAACTGTGTATAATATGTATTTTTGTTGTTGTAAAATAATAATAATAATAATAATAATGTTGCTGACATACTATGAAATTAAAAGGAAACGCTGTGTACTTAAGCTGCCTAATAAAAAAAAACATGATATTATGTAAAAGCTTTAGCGATCATAATAACTATTAGTATAAAAAAATCGAGGTAAGTGTGCGATTCCTAATAATATGAACAAGCGTAGATTTTCATAACATTGTTGTTCATAACATTGACAAACAAGTTAACAGTTGCCATCTCTTAGAACTAACATAGGATGCCTCACATACTTAATTAAACTGGCTTTCCAAGCCCTTCAAACTAAAATACAACGGTAAATATACTCACTGATCGGTAACGAAAAATATGTGAGGGTGCGGATTATTCAGAAGACTTTTTCTGTGTGGTGGCGAAGTAAAAGATCCCATCACCCTATTTCGTACCATGGATTTTGTAAGACTATGGAAAATGCTAGAAAAACCTTATGTCTCACAATAGATGGCAGTGCAACCATATTATAGTTTATGTCAAACGTAAAATACCCAGGTCGGCCACTGGCAGCGGCGTCAAAGGTGCGAAATATCTGGCACAGCTATCGTCAATCCGCCATCAAAGATAGGCCGAACTGATATATCTATACATATAAATAAAATTGAAGTGTCTGTTTGTAATGTTAAAATAACTGCATTTTACTAAATGCATATGAAAGTATATAGTAATTTTTGTCTGTCTGTCTGTCTGTTAGTTCCGGCTAATCTCCGAAACGGCTGGACCGATTTTGACGGAACTTTCACTGGCAGATAGCTGATATTATAAGGAGTAACTTAGGACACTTTTATTTTAGAAAAAAATTAGGGTTCCGCGCAAAAAAAATTAAAACCCATTAAATCGTAGTAAATTCCACGCGAGCGAAGTCGCGGGGAACACCTAGTCTATGCATATAAATAAAATTGAAGTGTCTGTCTGTAATAAAATAATTGGCTTCTATTAAGCTCAGAGGGTTATTTGTTTGCTATTAAGACATAAATAACGATTTTATCTGTCTGACTGCCCGTCTGTCTGTCTGCCCCGGCTAATCTTTGGAATGGCTGAATCGATTGTGATGAAACTTTACGAACAGATAGATAATAAGGTCGGGAGAGATATAGACTATATTTTTTCCGAAAAACTGAGTTTATTCAGAAAAAAATTATATAAATATAATTATGTAAAATTATATAAAACCACGTACTACAAAAAATTTGGTAAATAAAGATCTAATAAGAAATGTTTGAATGTACGTAAATAATATATGAATTAATCCGCACAATTAGGCCAGGAAAAGCTCATTAAGTAGACTGTCCATATATCAACGTTGTCTTCTATAGAAGAAATGTGATGGAGGAAAATGCGGATTTTCCTTCAATACATTTTGTACAAAACCGTTGACGAACAACTTATTTATGGCGATAATGTCTTTGATATTATTTGGGAGTTAGGGTTGAAAATTTCTTCAGACTGAAAACAGACATTTTGAGATTAGTTCCCGGCAAATATAGTTTATCGAAATCTTATATTAAATAATAACATCCACATATTAACATGAAAGCACTCTTCATTTTAATTACAGAAATCGAACATACGTCTGTAATAACATTTTATTGGAAAAACCATTATGATTTTATAAGAAATATGCTAATAATAAAATTAAACATTGAGATTACAAAGTAGTTTAGTCTTATATATATCTTATATATCTTAGTATCTTAGCATTATCGTATATTATTATCGTAGTCTTATATATCTTATAGCCTACAAATTTCATTGTTTTAATAGCTAAACTCGTCATGCACTAGGATTATATAATATATATAGGTAAATATTAGTTGGTATTTTTTTTAAATATATTACAACTATTTATACGCTGTGTGTTTACAACCCTTATTTGGGCAGATATATAGTGTGTCCTGATTTTTCGAACCACTTAGCCGTGTCCCTAAAGTATTATTGTTCTATTACTTTGCGAAAAAAGATAATGAGCTTTACACGTAAACTCAAATGATCATTGTTATATTTATTATTATTTAAAGAAAAGTGTCTTCTTAATAACGACTAAAAATAAAAAGCTGCGGTTGCCAAATCGCTTGAAAAGCATGGCAACAATGGCAAATATCCCCCTTATGACGCAATCGTAGGTTCGATGGGGGAGGCCTATGTTCAGCAGTGGACTTCAATAGGCTGTGATGGTAACGGTAATAATTTACACCTGCTGTATTTGTAAGTGTAGAGTCCCAAAATATGAAACAGACTTAGAACAACAATAAATAAGCAATGGATCTGAGACGACAGAAGCCGCTCGCCGTCACCGGTGTCGATATTTCACATCTAGGCACCGAACGAAATGGGTTGATGAATACGCTTACACCGTCACCACACGACAATAATGAGATATACGAGATACACTGCCATCTATCGGAGGTCTCTCATAATGATTGCAAAGAAAGTTTTTTTTTTTTTAATATGAGAGGGGGCAAACGAGCATGCGGCTCACCTGATGGTAAGTGACTACCGCCGCCCATGAACAACTGCAACACCAGGGGAATCGCAGATGCGATGCCGGCCTTTTAAAAAGGAGTACGCTCTTTTCTTGAAGGTCCCTAAGTCGTATCGGTCCGGAAAAATCGCTGATGGTAATCGATTCCACAAGGAGGTCATGCGAGGAAGAAAACATCTTCTAAATCGCACAGTGGTGGACCGCCAATCATCCAGATGGTGTGAATGGTATCGGGAGTTCTGCCGCGATGTGCGTTCGTGAAATTTGGCGGCTGGGATTAATCCGAACAATTCCTCAGAGCACTCCCCATGGTAGATGCGAAAGAAAATGCAAAGGGATGCAACATCTCTTCGCAGTGCCAATGAATCGAGCCGATCGGAAAGGGCTCGGTCGTCGAAAATTCGAGCCGCTCTGCGTTGGATGCGGTCAAGTGGAAGGAGCTGGCACTGGGGAGCCCCTGCCCAGAGATGGGAACAGTATTCCATGTGAGGCCGAACTTGCGCCTTGTAAAGTAGCAGGCGGTGTGCCGGCATGAAATACTGTCCCGCTCTGCTGAGCACGCCAAGCTTTTTAGAGGCCAATTTGGCCTTCCCTTCCAAGTGACCACGAAACTGCACGTCACTCGATATGTCGACTCCGAGGATACCGATACTGGCTGAGGCAAGAAGGGGAGTGCCTTGAAACTGAGGAGATACGACAAAGGGGTTCTTTTTAGCGGTAATCGCGCAAACTTGTGTCTTCTGAGGATTAAATTGGACTAGATTTAGTCGCCCCCAATCCGAGACTTTGTTCAGCAAAGACTCGACTTCAGACACAAGTTTGTTCCGGTACTCAGCGACGTTTTCCCAAGAAATATTGGCACGGCCGGTGTATAGAGCATCACCAGTGCTGTCATCCGCATTGCAATGAATGTTACCAGTTAGCAACATATCATTGATATGCAGAAGAAACAGCGTTGGTGATAGCACACAGCCTTGTGGAACGCCAGCGTTAATAGGCTTGTAGTCAGAGCATGCACCGTCTACAACGACCTTGATGCTCCGATCTACAAGGAAGCTGGTGATCCAATTGCACAATTTCTCGGGAAGCCCATAGGAAGGGAGCTTCGAAAGAAGCGCTTTGTGCCAAACCCGATCGAAGGCCTTCGCAATGTCCAGACTAACGGCCAACGCCTCCCCCTTGGACTCTACTGCCTCCGCCCATCTATGGGTCAGGTAGACCAGAAGATCACCAGCTGATCGACCCCGACGAAAACCGTAAATTTTATTTAGTACATAATATACAAATGCAGGTAAATAATTATATAAAATATAGTAATATAAAAATTCTAAATTTTAAGAGTAAAATTTAGGTGTCAATAGACCAAAACTACTAATTACGTTAACTGCAGCCGAAGGACCAAAAAAAAACTAATTTAATCTAATTTAAATACTTTATTATTATACTACTACATAATTACTACAACTAAAATAAAAGTGAATCAGATAGATGCTAGATCTAGAATGAATTTTAATTATTACATTAAAAATAAAGTAAAGGTATATTGCAGAGCTCCGATTGCATCCGTTGACGTCAATGCTCACGTTCTGGTGAGTTGCGCCTCGTGCCGCTACAATGTATCGGGGTCGCTGCTGTGTAGGCTCTTTACCTATGAGCTTATGTTATAACTTACTAGATACATAAACGACCTACATAATATTTTGTCAAACCCATTAGAAGTTATTAGCCTTTTACCCGCTGTTATTCGCCCGCTTGAATTTTGGAACATTATTAAATGCTGTTCCGTGCCAAATTTAGCGAAATTCGATCACTTTTAGAGTCACCTCGGTGTCTATGTCTCTTATGTCTGGTATTTACATTTAACTCTTTACATTCATTCGTAATTAAAATAAATTTACTTTTATAAAATAATGATGAATTTCATGGTCTTCTATCAATTTACGGTATAATGTTTATTTGAGATATTTTATTAATATCATTAGTCCTATTTAATATTGATTGGCACCGTAAAATAGATGTAGATTTTTTTTACGAAGACATATATAAAAGTCTTTTTTATAAATATAATGATAATGAAAATATTGCAATAATTGCAGAGAGACCAGTTTTATTCAGTTTACATATAGATTAGTAATTTAAATAAAAAACCTTATCAATTTTTATATTTTTGATAGACGTTACTAATATCTATTGAAATTATTATACTTTTAAAATAAAATAACAAAAATACTAAAAAAAACAAAAATGTTAGAATTTTTAAATAATTTTAAAAATCTAATTACTTAATCTGTAAGTTATTTAATTTATTAGTAACTGAAGGCAAAATATACAAATTTTTTGATTTACATATTAATTTTTGAAAATGAAGAATTCATATTTTTCCTTGGATATAATCGTCTTCTCAAAATAAATTATAACTGGCCAGTGTCACATACAAAAAAACATTTTTTCGCATTGGCCGCATAGTTGCAGCACGATTGGGTGTACTATGAAAAATATTCGTCGAAGACATGTCAACACCATTGGAGCTGCACTGCAGACCAATGTTCCACGTTCCTCCAGAAATGAGAAGAGGCCTGGTCGCAGTAGTAAGACTTATAAAGACTGTAACTTTACTTTACTAGATATAAAATATATACTGCGCTCTCCCCCAGGGCCATTCGCCAGACTGCTGGCCGAACAGGAGAGCAGAATAGATGTTAACCTAGTCCTATCAATAAAGTAAAATTAGGAATTATGAGTAGATTAACCCCCGCCCAACACACTAACTCCTAAGGCTATCACCACGGGTAGGCAAAGACTACAGACTTCAATTTGGCACATAACTGAAACACGTCTCTCGCTTCTTTCACACAAGAATATCGATGTGAATATTTATAGAGCTTGTTTTTCTGCCAGCCTGCCTTTTAAAGTCCTAAATACCTTAACATGCCTATTCGCTACAAGATCCACGAGCTATCACAAAGAAGAACAGTGTGCTTTTTTGACAGTCTTTGTTTGAATATAAATATGTTATTCTCGGTCTAAATTATAACTCAGGATCAGCGTACTCGGGCCTAAGTAACGGTGTCGCCCCTAAACAAAAATAATAATTATGCAGCATTAATTTTGTGTTGCTGACAGCATTGGTAAACTAAGAAGATTGTTCTAAATCACAGTGTTTAAAGTCTCATTGAAATGAAATGCTCTGTGCATAGTTATTGTTATTTTAGTTAATGAACGAAACACCTAACTGCTATCATTTTATTAAGTACGATAATAATAATATTTTTGTGTTTATAAAGTGATAATGTGGAAAGGTTTAAGCCGTCTTTAAATTGTTGTTTATTTTAACGTGTACGTTATATAGAGATATATTAACTTTATATTTGCCATTAGTTTAGTGAATGAAATTATTTTACTTCGTAATATATGAAATGAATTAATCATTCTTTGTGTGTTCCTGCAGTTTCCCGGCAGATATACAAAACATTAATCAGGATTAGTACCACTCTCTTACCTATTTCTACCACCAAATAGCAGTGTCTGCACTGCTGTGTTCCGGTTTGAGTGGTACAAAGAGCCAGTATAATTATTAATTATATGATGTGAGGTGACAACACACATGTAGCTTTGTTTGTTTAAAGTTGGTTGCAGTTGTCTGTACTTACCATTAAGCACTCCAAACATTGGATATATATTTATATATAAAAACTAACTGGCCAGGCAGACGTTGTTCTACCCTTTTCGACGACCCTTCATATAAAAAAATGCTTAAATTCGTAATAAACAAATATTGAGTGTTACTTATCAGGATACAAACTACCCTATCTCTCAAGTTGGACCAAACTGCACAGAGTGTGCAAAATTTCATCATTATATATATATATTGTGCGTGTAATTGTGTACATATATACGTTACATGAAAACTTGATTTTCACTAAATTTCTCCACTGCATCGTTAAAGAGGTTTCACTTCAAAAAATATATAAAAATAATACATAAAAATTTCAAAATACCAACGACTCCTAATAGATGGAAGGTGGTGCGT